CATCTACAACTAAAAATATAAAAAAAAACAAAAACAAGACTGCTGGTTTCAGTTGCTTGTTTTCTGCTTTAGGAAGGCAACTTGAGCAGCAGGTTGGGCTCCGGGCAGCTGCAGGAGCACGGGGTGGGGTGGGGATTGGGGGGGGCTGCAGGTGTGAGGTGGAGCCCTGCTCACCGGGCAACCCAGGGAAGCCGGCCAGACCTCTGCCTCCTGCCTTCCCTGTTGCCCAGGTCTTGCCCTCCCTGGGTTCTGAGTGTATCTCCCTTCTCTTATTCTTCAGGTTCGTTTCGGTGTCTTATTTGTGTGTTTCTGTGTCTCTTTTTCTGCCTCTCTTCCTACCTCTCTGCTTCTCTCCTGTCTTCCTTACTATCTCTCAATCCCTACTTTGTCTTTCCCCATTAACTGATCTAAAGAGATCTGACTAGTATGTATTTGTTTCATGTATTGAACCGTTTTTGTGTTTTCTGCATCATACAGAAGTGGACAGGTGAATGGAATTTTTCTAATCATCTGGAAAACAAATATATAATGGGTTTTTAAAAATTATTACCCTTGATTGATTCTTACCACTGCCTCCCCCCCCCCCCCCCCCCAAAAAAAAAACCCTTAGAAATCAGGGCCAGCAATAGAATAAAAGTCCCACCCTACTTTGTCTTTCCCCATTAACTGATCTAAAGAGATCTGACTAGTATGTATTTGTTTCATGTATTGAACCGTTTTTGTGTTTTCTGCATCATNGAATTTTTCTAATCATCTGGAAAACAAATATATAATGGGTTTTTAAAAATTATTACCCTTGATTGATTCTTACCACTGCCTCCCCCCCCCCCCCCAAAAAAAAAACCCTTAGAAATCAGGGCCAGCAATAGAATAAAAGTCCCACCCTAGGGCTCCTAGCCTAGAGCCGGAGAGGACCTGTGGCAGTTGCCAATGCAGGGGGAGGGGGGATAAGCATGGCGGTGGAGCATGCGGGGTGTGGGCGCCACCTGGGGGGGTGAAATGGAGATCCCAGTCAGCAGCCACTGTCTCATGGCACCAGGCCTTTCCRCCACTGAACTCTGCCACTCTCCAGCCTTTGCCCTTTCCCTCCCAAATGAACTAYCCCCATCCCAACCGAACCTGAGCTCCCCCCAGGGGGGTGTGACCCCTCCACACCTTTGCTCATAGAGACCCCTCTGCCTGGCATGCTTCGGTCACCCCCGGCTCTGTTCACCTGGTCAACACCTACCCATCTGCTGAAGTCCTTCCTGATCCACAGAACCAGCTAGAACGAATTCCTCCTTCATGCCCCATTGTGATCAGAGGCAGGGTCTCAGTCATCCTGCTTCCCTAGTGCCCAGCACGGAGCCTGGCACACACAAGGTATCCAATCAATACATGTTGAAAATGAAGAGAATGAAGTCTTTTGCCTCCCACWTTACCAGAAGGATAACAAAGTGGGAAAACTTGGCCCTAGCACTGAGGTTCTCCCCTGGTCCCCCACCCACCTTCCTACCCCCAGACCTGCTCACCTGCATACTCTGCACCCCCTGCACCCCCATAYCCCACCACCCTCCGAGGCGCCCTCTGCCACAAAGTCTTCCACGACTCCCAACCCCCAGAGGAAGAAAGCTGTCCTTCATCTGAGCTCCCAACTACCTGATCTGTCGTGACCTCTTTGGGGCCTCTCTGGTGGCTTTTCGGCACCCCCACGATAGGCATACGCGATTGCAGTCCCCATGCCCACATGGAAAGCCGCCCCTGGAGGTGAACCCTCTAGAATGACCATAGATTAAATGAGCAAGTGAAGACAAGCCTGCCATCCCTTGCAAGGAGAAAGGCCAGAACCAGCACTGCTCCTGGTTCCTCACAGGGAGGGCTGCAGTCAGAGCCCAGCCTCCCAGCACAGCAAGGCCGTGTGGGGCGCAGGGGTCACCCATCCGGAGACAGGGGATCAAAACATTACGCTACCTTTTTGGCCAGTGCGTCTCCCGGTCCATCTTCGCCTTTCCCAACACTTAGTCTGACTGCTTGCAATTAGTATCTGAGGCAATCTAAAAGAGTCAAGCTGCATTATGGAGTCGCCCAGGACAACTGCAGGGCACAGCTCGTGGAGAGGGGCTCAAATGCCCAAGGTTGCTTCCTTCACCTACTCAGCTGGGCCTCACCAAGGAAATAAGATCAAGAAAGTGGTGTTCGTCTTTAGCATTTATTTATAATTGGAAAAGCTGTTCGGTTGTCTGTTTTCTGAGCAAGCACAGACCACAAGCACGTCACAATCAATTGGCTATACATGAATATTTTTGTCATTCTCTTACTAACAGCGGGAATGAAATAGCACCAAGAGAGGTGTGCGCTACACGTTACATAGACAATCTGTGGTATGCAACAAAACCCAGGCCACAAAATCGCAATTAGACACTTCCTGTCTGCCTCAGTGAGGCACAGCTATATGGGCTGGTCGGGATCCTGGGCAGAGAAGACAGAGCTGGGGAAGCCAGCGCATAGCTCTGCGGGGATTTCTGCAGGCGGGCCAAGCAGACAAGGGCCAAGTCTCTGTCCCAGCCCTCTTGCTAAGGGTAGGAGCAGCAACCACAGAGAAATGTATGCAAATGAGCAGGACAGGCATTGGAAGCTCGGTCACCTCCAGAAAGGCAACACCAAACACTGCTTGAGGAACCAAGATCAGTTTCGTTCAGTATGTTCAGGATACAGAACGAGACTGGCTGAGTTTTATTTGTAAACAGTAGAAATCAAAGGAAATTTCTTGCCAGGAAAGTGACACATTCAAGAGTCAAAGTGAACCACAGAGTTTTCTCAGGTGGGTGTGTGACAAAGAAGGGGGCACTGACAGGTTGAAAAGGAGATTATACTGTCATCTAAAGCCTTGGGCAGGGCAGGGTAGGAGTTGCAGTCCCTGGGGCTGCAAAGTGGTTGCAAAAGCCTGTGAGGCCCTTGAAGCAAACCCTGACTTGGGCAACACCAACTTGGCTCAGCCACTCTACATAGGGGACCATCAGGTGCATTCTTCTGGCTGTGCTGCTGTGGAGACAGATTTATTTATACTGCCTACCGAGTCTAGCACAGTGCTGACACAAGGCATTCCATATGTGAGTGACCCCTGAATGATCCCCTGTGCGTCCTAAACTCTGATTCACTGGATCTGCAAAATGCTCCGTGGAGAAATCCAAGCTGTAGCTAGCATCCATGTGTCTGGCTAAGGCTGAAATCTTAAGAGAATGACCAGACATCTGCAAATTCTCTGTTAGAGTTCCCTGGTAAGTTTTATGATTAGCTAACAAGGTGCCGGAAACAGTACTGAGATCTATGCCAGTCACTTCCGTATAGGCATTTAAAATTTGTGATTCATAAGTGCTGGGACTCACCAGCATTTCCTGCCTTCGGCACTTCTCCTTCACAGGCCACGCCCTGAGGGAAAGGAAGGTGGCAGTGGCCTGAACAGACTCTTCTTTCTGGTTTTCCTGTTTTATTAAAACCAGGCCTGCATAGCACATGCTGTTTTAGTTTGCAAAGACCTTCTCAACCAGCCCCGCAACAAACAAAATAGAACACAGACACTTTGCTGCCTGGGCAGTGAGAATAAGAGAGCCTGGGAGCTCTGCTGCTTCTAACCTGGGAGAACCCGGAGGGGCTTCTGAGGTATGGAGCTGGGAGACCTCCACTCTTCTCCTCCAAGACAAAAAGAAGACACCCGGGCAGAGGCTGGGTGTTGGCCACAGCCCAGCCATTCAGAATGCTGGGGAAGATGGCCTTCAAGGACAGGAGAAATCAAGTGTGCTGAGCAATCCACACCTCACATTTGCAAATATATTCTTTCTGGTAGACACTTGGGGTTCCCTCCTAAGCACTGGGGATCTTTCACAATGACTCCCTAATTCCTACAACACAACTCTAGCACAGCTATGGTGGCACTCACCTCCCCGGGGCTTTGGCCACACAGACACACATCACAGAATACATTGAGAGCTGCTTTTTAAAATTTCTATCAATGAGGTCAAAAAGACCTGCCAGTTATTTCACAGGGTCCTCTCCTAGCCTGCGGCTGTGTCATAGAAACACCCGACCTGAAGTTCGGCACTGGCACCGCTGGCCTCTGTGGAGCAGAGCGAGACCCTTCGGCGAGGGAGGGTCAGCACCGCCATGCCTGCCGCTGCGCCAGCTCAGGAACAGAAAGTACGCACTAAGTCCTCTCTCCCTCCACCTGGACCCTTCGTCCTTAGTCACCCTCCACCTGTCACTCTGCAACGCTGGCAGCCTGCTGAGGACAAATGGGAAGGCAGGCTCCCACAGCTGTGGCCTTCCTATGACACCTACAACACCTACAACACCCACCCTTTACCACCGCTGGCCTGGTCTCGGTCACCAGGAGCCTATCTATCACTTGGTGTACAACTTAAAGCCCACCAGTAGGAAACAAAACACAGGCACACACTTCTAACAGAAGATTCTAGAAGATTAAAGTTAACAGACAACTCCATTCCATTGACATTAAGGCCAAGGTTGCTTTTTCCTTCGTTTTGTTTCTAACATTTCCACCAATGTTGTCAATCATGAAGCATAAGCTGAGCTTCTATAGCACATGATCACCCTCTAAACTTTGGAAAAGAAACTTCATCTAAAGTTCAAAATCAACCAGTTGACACAGGCTTGGGAGGAGCAGGAGGAAGAGGCCCTACAGCAGACATTTCCAAGCCCCACCAGGAGGTGGGCTTGGAGCTGGCTGAGTACGGTCCCCAGGGGGAGGCACGGCCAGTGCACAAGGCTTCCTGGTGTCCCAGGGTCCCGAGGCTGACATAGGTCACCCTCAGGAGGAGGAGTGGCCCTGTGTGTGAACCAGGGCTCCTCCACTAAAAGAACAAAACCAAAGCGTTCCTGGAACACTCAGGACCAAGGCAGAGGGGAAGTCTCTAATTAATTTTGTGGCCTTTTTGTTTGTTGGTTTAAAAAAAAAAAAGAGAGAGAGAGAGAGAAGAAGAAAAGGAAAGTGCAGTGACATTTACTCTTTAGCCTCAGCCAGTTTATTGTTCATCTCTTTGCTTTGCTCCTTGTCGTCGGGCTTGGTGGCACTGGGACTCTCCGTGCTCTTTTTCTTGGCAGCCTGGCCCGACGCCACCTGCTTGTCTTTGGCCTTCCTCGGGGGCTTATGGCTCGCTGAGGTCTTTTTTGGTTTGGAACTCTGAACACTAGGTTTCTCCACCTGTATGGAGAGACAGACGGACCGCAAATACAGAAACACAAGGGGAGAGGGTGGGAGAGAGGATTCAGAGAGAAGAAGACATTATAGTATTAATCAAAGGAAAACGGGGAGCAAGTCTGACATGGGAAGCACAGTGGAGGAAGGACTTCCAGTGACACTGGCCTTTTGGTTTCTCTGTCTGAACTCCCTGGTTAGTCTCTATGGCAGCACTCTCTCTGGCTGCATGGACTCACTATCCCCTCCCTAGGTGGACCCCTCCCCAGATGGCAGGCAGGTCACTGTTATGCTGCATCTGCTGTCCCTCCCTGTGGGAATATTATACCTCATCACCTTGTTCAACTCAGGCACAGGCATATGATTTCCTGTAGTCCTTGAAATGTGAGAAGGGACGTGGGTCACCTCCAGGCCAGGACTTGAGAGTCAGCCTGTGCTTCCAATGCTCTCCGCGCCTCTGCTCAGAGCGGTGCGCTCCATCACCCCAAGCCTAGGCTGAAGAGGCATGAGGAGCAGAGCTTCAGCCCCCCCATGATGGACAGCTACTCGTGCAAGATGAACTTTGGCTGATGTCAGATGCTAGGAACCCAGTGGCTTATTGCTGCGAGTAGCTGGCCTTCCCCTGTTTCTGTCTCTGAGATGGGAATGCACATGGAGAAGTGTTCTTATTGAGATCCTTTGAGCTGGGATGTGTCCAGCCTCACCAGGCCATTGGGGCTGCACGGCCAGCAACATCTCTGACGGGCCACCTCGACAATTTCTCCCAGAGTAGCTGCTCCAAGCCCAATCCACTCTCCCTGGGATACCTCTTCTAACTTTTCCCCCTTGTTCTGAGGTCACAGCCTGCTCTTTCTCAGAGAACTCTGGAGCCACTGAGCATGATGGGTCGATATGCTACTCGGGCCCATTGATTTCTAGATTTAATTTCCCCTATCCTTCCTCCTTCCTCCACTGGAATCTTCTTTTGTTCAATGCCAACCCCATGTCTTGGGACATCGACTTGCTGAGTTCCTATGATTTTTCAGTCACCCTTGATCTGCAAAGAAGGTAAGCAGTCATCCTGGTTTGTCTGGAATGGAGAGGTTTCCTGAAATGTTTCAGGCAATGGGTAGTTCCTTTACTTATAAAATGGTCCTGGCCACTTAGGAAACTCCACCTGAGTACTAGACTTTAGGACAAAAGCAGAGAAAAGACGGTTTGGGTTCTAAAAGTATTTAGGTTGTCAGATGTTTTCTGCTGTCACATGCAGGAGAGATGATGTGTACCCAATTCCATATGGTCTGACATCACAGAAAAAGGCTGCTTGGCATGTGCAATTCTTACTTGGGAGCTCCATCTTCAACCTCCTTCCCCCAAGTATGAATTCACACTGAGACACAAATCAGGTAGGGTAGTATTGTAAGAAAACTCCCGAATACACTTTCACAAACTGTTTAGTGACTAATGACAGAGTGTATCTTGCAGCTGATGTGACAGGTGTGCTGAGACAGTGAACCCTGCTGGTGGATGGCGTGTTATCAAGGGAAGAATGAGAGGGTGGCTGTGTGCACACCTGGGAGGAAAAGAAGGGGCTGGAATGGAATGGGGTGGGGGGAAGGGCCCTACGGAGGCAGAAGCACAGCTATTTTAAGATGAAGGGATTTACAGCTCAGGTGAGATTTCCTGCTACTTCTTTTCTGAATCTCTCAAATGCAGAAGCTACTTCTCGGAATTCTGCCCACCTTTAAGGTGTTTTTTTTTTTTTTTTTTTTTTTAATCTCAGGTAATGGTTCTTTCTAACATCTCCTTATTTTATTTTATTTTTTGCGGTGCTGGGAATGCAATCCAAGGCCTCACACTTGCTAGGCAAGAGCTCTATCACTGAGCTACATCCCCAGCCCTTTTCATTTATTCTTAAGATTTTGAGACAGGATCTCACTAAGTTGCCCAATCAACCTTGAACTTATGACCCTCCCAGCCKCAGCCTCTCAGTAATAGCTGGGATCACAGGCCCCACAGCTAACATTTCCTTTGAATTTAACAAAGGTTCCTGTTGAAGATGTCCATGGGTCTCAGTGTGCTAAAAAGGAAAGGAGCCCTTGGGGCCAGCCAGTGTCTGTGGTGCCCACTCCCAAGCTCTGCTCGGTTCACCTTTCCAGTCCAGGCTGTGCTGAAGGGTTCCCCACAAGATCTGTCTCACCTTTGAGGGTTCCTTGAAAGGTTCGCTATAGAGGCTGCGTATTCTTCTGCGCTCCATGAGCTTATTGTCAGCTGCTGTTGGCTTATTGGCCTCCCCCTTGAACTGGGCGCTGTAGCTGGTCTCATGAGCCATTTTGTCATCTGGGGGCTTGTACTGAGGCTTGGCTTTTATTGGTTTCACAGGCTTGACGTCTGTCCATGCTCTGAATTCATTCCTGTTGGTCAAAGAAAACATAAGTGATAAAAAACATTGTATGCCTGGAAGCAGGGCTCCTGACTCGGGCTGCACACAGCAAGCTCTCAATTAGTGCTTGTGGCACTGAGCATGGCTGGAGAGTTAATGCTATTCTTTGATCATGGCAAGTGACAGTTGTCTTTCTTGCCAAGTGGACCCAGGTTGTAGCAATAGCAGTAGTGCTTTAGGGAAAGTGCTTGAGCTCCCTCCTAGTTCCACACTGCAGACAGGCAATTCAAATCTTCAGACCTCATTTCCCAGTCTCTGAAATGAGGCTGAAAACACCCAGCCCAGTCAGTCATTCAGTTCAACAGATATTGGATGCAGCTATGTGCAAATCTAGAGTTGTGAAATGAGACAATGTATTAGGCTTACTACCATCTCTAATGTAGCCTACCAATGAATGCCAAATTCCTGCCCCCTTTCTCACAATGAAGAACTTTTGTTCTATAGATTCCTTTTTAAATTTTTTCGTTTGGGGTGGTTTTTTGGTGCTAGAGATCGAACCCAGGCCCTTGTGCATGCAAGACAAGTACTTTACCAACTGAGCTACATTCCTAATCCCCCTTTTTAAWTTTTTTTTAACAAAGGAGTGAACCCAGGGTCATTTAACCAACTGAACCACACCCCAGCCCTATTTATGTTTTATTTTGAGACAGTGTCTCACTGAGTTGCTGAAGGCCTTGCTAAGTTGCTGAAGCTGACTTTGAATTTGCAGTCCTCCTGCCTCAACCTCCCAAGCCACTGGGAAGACCTGAGCTTTGGTAGGTAACTATGGCCAGTGCTCGACATTCCTGGGGACCAGCCCCAGGCCTGTGTGAAGAGCCACCGGGTTCCTAAGTCTAATCATGACAGCCAACTGAACCTGAAGAAGGTGGAGAGAGAGGAGGAGAGGTGAGGAAAGGAGCAAAAGAAGCCCTGATGCCTGAGTAGCTGGGTGCTGTTGACAGAATCAGGAGGGTTTCAGTCCCCATCCCATGCTCCGCCCATGTGCACCACTGTGCCTGGCTGTTCTGTAGAATCTTAAGGGTCCTCCCTTTAAACCGCAGTGCCAGAACCGAAACAACCGAATCAACTTAGATGAAAATTTTGTGAAACGGCTCAGCGTTTATAAGTCTTAAAGAAGCCACATGCACTGAACATCATGGGGTATCACAGCTAAGACTTGTGTCTGGATGTGAATCTAGGAGAGACTCCGTGTGCTCTGGTGTGAACCGCTGCCAGTTGGTCTGTCGGCCTGTCAGCTTTCCTGTTTACAGCGATCCCTCTCTGCCTTTCTGATCTGTCCTAGGGCTGGAGAAGAGATGGCCAACAGTGTTGAAAACAGGGCTGCCCCTGACGGTGGACGAGGTCCTCCCTGTAAGTGTGTGCCATTTACTGCAAAGCWCTGGGCCCTGAGGCCTTGATGGGGTCTGCTTCCTTTGGGGGCCATGAATAAGGAGTAGTTAGTGTGAGAATCTGCAGAGTTGGGTTCTTCCAAGGGCCCCTTCACCCTCGCTGACTTCCTCCTCCAGGGCACAGAGAAAGGGGGCCACAGAAAGACTTTGGTCTGCAGGAGAGAACAGCCTCTCCAAGGCCTCTCCCACACTGAACATTGTTTTCTCATTTGTAAAATAAAAGAATTAGGCTAACCATGTCCCAGAATATCCTTCTAACTCTAATGCTCTCAGCTATTAAAACCAATTTGGCAACACTAAGCCTCTAGCTGGTGGTTTGACCTCCTGCTCTCTGGATATCTCTAGGACTGGCTCCTATGTGAAGAGAGGGGCCRCTACCTCTAAGTTTCCAGTGCAGCCTGGGCCACCACCTAGATGCCCAACCAACACCTCTGACTCAGTGTCCCTAAACCCCAACTGTCTGGTCTTCCTCACTGACTTGTCTTCTTTAGGGTTCCCTCACTGCTCATCTTCGCCCACTCATTCATAAAATATTTCCAGAGTGCTTGTGCTCTCCCTTTCTGGAGGTTGAGAGCTGTGGAGCCTAAACAGGCAAGAACAGTCCCTGGGCATCAGGTGTGGGAGGCAGAGGGACTTGAGGTTGCTCCAGGGAAAGACCCTGAAAGCAATGAAGGAGGAGGGAGTGAGGAGCATGGAGCTCCCACCCCAGCCTGGGAGTCAGGGGGAGCTGACTGGCAGGAGGTTGGCCAAAAGGTGGGTTCCAGACAGATCGAGCAGCATTTCCAGAGGCTCCTGAGTAGCACGGGAGCCTGTGGGCAGTGTGGRTGGCTGGGTTCCCATTTGGCGTGGAAGAGCAAGGAGCCTAGTCACCATGGAGGGCCTGCTGGCCATGCTAAGGGGAGGGTCTGCCTTGTAACATGAAGTTGCCAATGAGTCCCAGCCAAGGGTGAATATGGCCAGATCCATTTTTGGAAGAGCACTTTGACAGTGGTGTGCGTGGGGGACTRTGGGAGAGAGTAGAGGTAGGACCCAGCAGGGGACTGGTGGAAGTCAGGAGGGATGTGTGGGCCTGAACCAGGAAGGGGCAGAGGGGACCGAGGAAGGACACTGAGTTGAGAAGGCAACTGGGCATGAACCGTGGGAGGTGCGGGGCCTGGATGAATCTGGGGAGGTGCAAGGGCTTTGGCTTGGAGGTATGCCACTCACTGAGACAGGCAACTGGGAGGAGCATGGGATGGGGATTGAGACCTTCCTGATTCTGTCAACAGCACCCACCTACTCAGGCATCAGGGCTTCTTTTGGTCCTTTCCTCACCTCTCCTCCTCTCTCTCCACCTCTTCAGGTTCAGTTGGCTGTCATGATTAGACTTAGGAACCCGGTGGCTCTTCACACAGGCCTGGGACTGGCCCCCAGGAATGCCGAGCACCAGTCATAGTTACCTACCAAAGCTCAGGTCTTCCCACCCTTTAGAGCTGAAGCCCTTTCCATTAGACAAGCCCCTAAGAGTTGGCACTGCCTGTGCCAAACCAGTCCCAACCTATTCTCAGTAGATGATGGCAGAAATCCAGATTCTATGCTTCTACCCCTACCTGCTTCCAGAACCAGGACTAAGATACATATGCACTGTCCCTCAGCAGTTTTCTGGGTCATCTCCCACTGGCCGGCCTCTGCAGCTCCATGCATCTCTGCAGTGGGTGAGCTGGCAAGTGTCTCACTTGTGAACATCATCCATGGGATGTGGACCCCACCCATGGAGGGGGTGGGGGAGGGGAGTAGTGACCCTGATCTTGAACAAATTTGGTACATCAGATGAGACCTTGTTAATGCATCCCATCATAGGTCCACTGTAATTATGACAGACTGTTAGGTTTAAGCCCAAACTCCATTTCTTAGAACTTTCTTCAAATTCTCCTTAAAACCTCCTCCAGCCACATGCAACAACTAATCATATGTCATAAAAATAAAGTTAGGGGGCTGGGGCTGTAGCTCAGTGGTAAAGCACTTGCCTAGCACGTGTGAGGTACTAGGTTCGATCCTCAGCACCACATAAAAATAAATAAAGGCATTGTGTCCATATACAACTAAAAAATAAATTAAAAAAATAAAATTAGGCTGGGGTGCAGTGGCACACACCTGTAATCCCAGAACTCAGGAGGCTGGGGCAGGAGGATGGCAAGTTCAAAGCCAGTATCAGCAAAAGTGAGGCACTAAGCAACTCAGTGAGACCCTGTCTCTAAATAAAATACAAAATAGGGCTAGGGATGTGGCTCAACTGTAGAATTCAATCCCTGGTATCTAAAGTAAACAACTAAATGAAGTTACAATTTCTTATTTCTTTTATAAGCTGAAGGGTTTTGGTTTTGGTTTGGATATTCTCTGTAATTCTTACAATTTTGAAGAGGAACTAGTCTTAAACCCCTTAATAAAAGAGATAAAACAAGTCTCAGAGAGGTTAAGTTGCTTGCATAAGGCCACACAGCTGGTAAATAGCAGAGCTGGATGTGAAGGCAGGTTAGTCAACTCTACAGCCCACACGCTCCCATTGCATGTTGGGAGTATGCTAGAACAACCGTGCTCACCTGTCTGCAGCAAAGGTGCTTGTTCAGTGCCTAGCCTGCTGTCCACATTGCTATGGAGGGTGGGATGACACAGGCTGGGCGAGGTGACTCCTGAGCTCCTCCAGCCCTGAGAGTCTTGACCAAGAACCATGTGGACCCCACTCACAGGTGAGTTGTGCCTAGTGCCTCTTGCCAAGAGTTCGTGGTCCCTTGCACCACAGCCCCCTTTGCCTATATAACCATCATTCATTTATTCATTCATCCATTCATTTGGCATTTGCCAAACACCAGTCATGGGCGTGGCACGTGTCCCGCAGGGATGAGTAAGCCGCGGTTGGTGTCTATCACTTAGTGAGTCAGGACCTGTCCATGTGTGATCCTAAAAAAGGCAGAAGGAAGCAAATGGAGCAGAGCTCAGAGGGAGAGAGGAAGAGGAATGCTTAATTCTGAAGGGCGACGAAGACCGGGGAGAAGAGCACTGAAGGTAAAGGTGAAGGAGTAGACGTGGGGGGTTCGCGCACCAGTCTGGGTCTGCATGGCAAGTTCAGAGAGCAAACAGATGGGGGGCTGCTCAGGATGTGGGGGTAGGGGTCTTCCTCAAGGTGACCAGGCGAGGGCCTGGAATGCCTTGTGTGGATGTAGGTGGAAGGCCCGGGGAGCCACTGAGGGTTTCTGGGCAAGGCAGCACTGCTTCTCTAGGGATGGCATCCTATTACCAGAAGCCCCAGTTGTAATGATTCTTTCAGGCCCAGCTCAGGGTTCTCCTCTTCCAGGAAGCCTTCCTGGGTTACTCAACACAAAGATTCCCACCCTCTTGGCTCCTGGTTCATTGACTCTACCGGCTAACTTTGTGGTTACTATGCAACTGCATGTCATTCTTTAATTCTTTCATGAGTTCATTTCATCTTTTTAAAGGATAAGATACTTAATAGAAAATCCAGAACAGAATCCTACTTTGGGGTCCAACCTCCCTTGCATGGCTATGAAGAGAGGTCCTTCTGAATCAGACTGCAGAGAGATAGAGCTGGGCTGGACTGGGCCCCCCTTCCTGCCTGTCCTGCCAGGCCTCTTCCCATGCCGCCGGCTGCCATGCAGGCTTTCTTACATGTTCAGAGGTTTGAAAGGCTTGGCATTCAGTGGGCAGTGAATGGAAGTAGCTATTGTCTTCTTTCCTCTCTGTTCAGCTAATGTCACCTCCTCCTGAGCTCTTTGTTCCCCACCCCAGATGGGGCAGACACTTGTTCTTTGGTGGCATACCAATGCCTCACTCTGAAACCTATGACCCTTCCACCATCCAACACCTGGAGGCAGACATCTAGCCCAGGTTTGTCTTAGGGTCCTTTAGACTMATGGCCACCTTAACTCTCGGCAACAGTCACAAGAAATAACTTCTCTTCAGCCAGTCTGGATGCACACTACAGGGGGGCTCTGGGCATATCAAGAGGGCCCCATATCTGCAGGCTGCTAATGCTGGCATCCTAGAGATGTTCCTCATGCCAAGCTTTCTTGTATCACGGTGTGTGAAGCCACTAGGACGTTTTGGTGTCTAACTGCATGACCAAAGGCCCACTGCCCCCTCCACAACAGATCCACGGCTGGATCCTGCTGTCTGTGGCTTGATGCTTGATTTATCTCCTACATGATCCCTGCAGGGACAGAGGAGGGTCCCCAGAGGATGAGCAAACTGCAGACTCCTCAATGGCTCATGTGTCCTGAGAAAATCTGTGGAGAATCGGTTGGGCCAACCCCCAAGCCTTACCAAGGAATGGCAGAGCCAGACCTGGCTTGAGCCATCTCCTAGAGACTTGGTGGTAAGTGTTTTTGGTTGCTCCCTTAGAAGATTTGGACAGCTGCTGGTCATATTCAGGGACTCTGGTGTCTTACTGCAGAGGCCATTTTGAAAAGTGTCTACAGATATCTACCTTCAACTTCTCCTGTCCAGCCCTCTGCCCCTGCCTCTCCTGGGCCTCAGAACCTCCTTTGCCTGGACATGGCATCAGGATCACAGCACCAGCACCCCTTAGTTCTGATTCACCTGGCACAGGCTTCAGGGTAAATCCCATGCCACTCCCACCCACAGACCTCCAGCATCTTCCAGTTCCTACAGTGTTGGGAGCTGCCCTGGATGCAGCCACCTTTAAGTCCTGATGCACCAGGTTCTGAACAATTACTGCCTTCAGTCTGGCACGGCAGTGCCAGGTCGCAGTAACTTAGGCGTTACCCCAGCTCGGATATCAAGGCATGGCTCCAGGAGTACCTGTTACCCCACTGAGGTTGAGTTACACTCACTTGTTCCTTTGTAATCCTACCCATTTGCCCTTTTGGGGATAAAATGTTCCATGAACCCTCCCCTTGTGTGTCCCCTATATAAGAATAAAGAATTCCAGCGGCTTTCTTTCCACGGACCCTTAAAGTAGGAGAGCCAGCATGGATTTTGAAAAGGCATTTCTGTGTGTTTGCCTGCTTTCCTTATCATTTTCTTAAGTTACTGAAATAGTCAGATTTTGTGAACCCAGCATTAGGTTGCCAGCTAGGAAAGGTGGTGATACTCCAGGATGAGGTGCAAGCTCTGGCTCCTTCTAGTTCCCCCATGCTGTGATTCCTCAGGATGGCAGGCAGAGCTTTGTGAGTTGACCCCACTTTACTCTTCCAGCCTTCTTTATCTCTGTCAGTCATTTAGTGAGTATTTTCTGTGTGCCAGGTGCTGGGCAGAGCTCTAGATGAATCATCTTAACTAATTCTCGCACCAGCACTTTGTGGTAGCTGCATGTCATCCATTTTGCTGGAAAGAACACTGCATGCTGCTGCCCTTCCCTACCACTGAGTGTCACTCATGCTGCTTCTAGACCTGCCATGCTCTCTTCTCCACACCTCCGACTACTGAACCACAATGCCACCTGCCTCCTGTGCTCTTCCCTCCAGGGGTCTCTCCCAACCCCCGGGGCTGAAATCAGACCCCCTGGCTGCATGAGGCATCCTTCTCTGGCCTGCTTCTATCTGTGGCACTTGCCATGTTCTAGCTCCCAGAAGGTCACCTGAGTCATCTTCTTTCCCTCCATTCCTTGCAGTTGCTGAGGGTAAGGCCTCCACTTGACTCACGGCACTAAAGCCTGCTCCTTGTGTAATTCTAATTCATTGTTTATTGTAAATGCCAGGGCCTTTCAAATTAGAAGTGAAAGATTGGCCTCCATTCTGTTCTTTCACAATTCTTTCTTTCCCAAATAATCCTCACATGCTAGGACAGGGATGCTGCTTCTGGACCTTCTGAATGCTGCTTCTCTCTCCTCTGAATGTCTGAACAGGAAGCCCCTGGGCCACCCCAGGGGGACAGTGGAAAATTGCTACACAAGCATATCATGGCATCACTTCCCACAGTATGTCCTGAGCTCTTTGGCACTCCTACCTTAGATCTTGATGTCCTCTCCTGGATGAGGTTAGAGTTGGTGACTCACTCTAACAAACAGAATATGGCAGAATTGGGGCACATAACTTCTAAGAGTGGGCCATTTAAGGCATTATAGGCTTCTCCTTGACTTCTTTCAGAGTAGCCCTGTGAGAGATCCACGTAGGGAGGGACTGAGGCCTCCTGCTAAAAGCCATGGGAGTGAGCAATCTTAGAAGTGGACTAGGCTCAGGCGAGCCTTCATGTGATCTCATGAGAGACCCTGAGCTCCACCTACCCTGACAAGCCATTCCTGATCTCTGACCTTCAGAAATTGTATGGGATAATAAACACTTATAGTAAGTTGCTAATTTTTGAAGCAATTTGTTATACAGCAATAGATTCAAATGCAAACCCCAATCCCAAATTTTTCTTCCCAAAAGGGGTTTAAAATCCTCTTGTTTTACCTCAGCAAGGCAGAAAGCAATGGTGTGAGCCCAGCACTGAAGTTCAAGCACCCAGGAGAGCTGTGGCATCAAGTTCATGGAGAGAGGTCATGCTCTGGTCCTAAGAAACCAAGGTGAACAGTCTGCAGCCTTCATTAGAAGGTAGCAAAGCCTCCTGGGCCGGAAAACCAAAGATGCACTGCCTTGGGCCCAGGGCGTGTGCAGAAACAGACACAGGCCTTAGGAGAACACGGTGTCTTGGAACATAGCATGTGCCAGGCTCAATGAGATGCAGGTAGACTAACAAGGTGAGGGGAGGCCCTGAGCCCGGGCCAGAGAAGAGATAAAAATGTGGCTCCTCAAAAGACACAAACGTGGCTCTAACCCAGCTCTAACTGCTGGGCCATTTGTGAAGGATTGACATGAGCCCTGTACAAGATCCATGTGGAGGTTAAGTGAGAAAGTATGTAAAAGAGTTCTTTAGTTGAAGAGGGGCTGGATATTCATACCAGAATTGCAAGTTTGGGGTGAATAACTGTTTAATAAATGCATTTGATTTTCATTACAGAGTTGTTTATTCAAGAAAAATTATTGCAGATCCTCTGTGTTCCAGGCATGGCTGCAGTCCTCTACCTTCACAAGCCTTGCTGACAGCTGGGGAAAGAAACATAGACAATTACATGATGGTTCAACTACCATGATATTTCTGACCACTTGCAGTCAGTATTCTAATGCCCAGAGTGGGCAAAATTGAGCTTCCAACACCAGGCTTACTACTGAGCGTATTTCCTGTTAGACTTGAACACAGCAGCATTCAACGAACGCCTGCTTCACTGAATCTTCAATACTGAGTATCCACTATAAACAGATGTTCACTTTTTAAAGACTTGTCCCACTTAAGCACATTTGCATGCAGCGACTCAAGGGGGAGAGAGTGAAAGAGCAATTATAGAGGGAGAGACCAAAGACAGCAGAGAGAGCCATCACAGAGGAAGCCAGGTCCCAGAGGAGGGAGGAAGGGAGGAAAGAAGGTTTGGTCTTGGAAAGAAAGAGTTGTGAAAGAAGAGAATGGAGGCCATTCTTTCATTTCTAATGTGAAAAAGGTTGACATTTACAAGAAAAACGAAATAGAATTACACAAGGAACAAGTTCTACTGCTGTGAATAGCTGCATGTGTTAATTGGTACAAATCACTTCTTGACAAAAGTGGAGACTTAGAATAATGGATTACTGCCAACTAGGACCACATAAAAATTTCATTTCTCTTCCCCAAAGCCCCAGATTTATTTATTATGTATCTAAATCCTTGGGAAATCAAATTCTTTCCCTATCCTCTTCACAATAAAAATTTCAACATTTCTTAAGTGCTTTAAGAGGGAAGAAGGCAGAGCTTTAAAGCCTTAATGGCCTAAAATCTTCCTACAGATTTTCATGGGTAATTTATGTTGTCATGGAAACATATCAAGTCTCTGTTCAAAAATCTTGTCTACACTGGTTATATTAGAGTGAAAGAAAGCAGGCTCCATGCTGAACTCTGATACAGGCAGTCTGTGAACGCAGTCAGTTGCCAAGCTATAGTCAGGAGACGGTGGTTAAAGGAAGCAGGATCAGTAGATTAAAAGAAAAGACCATCCTTGAACCTAGAGGGTTGCCAAGTGGCTGAGAGAACATTTTCTCCCCATTTTGAAGGGTGTGGAAGATGCTTCCTCCTAGCCAGAAATGCCTGGGTTAAGAGAGGATCTCTGGGATCTACGCAGCACGTGTGGTTGCTTGCTTGTCTCTCAGTTGCCTTTGTGTGAATGGGAGAAAAGAGAAGCATCAAGAGAATGCCAGTACGCTAATCAGTAATGATCGCTCTTCTTATCCATTAATATCCAGTAAATACATGTATTTACTGGATGTAAATACATGTATTTACTGGATGTGATGGCACTCCAAAATGAGTAAAGCATATGTTGGACATATAAAAGGGCAGTATATAAAGTCTGAAGCTGATCTCACATGAGTAGAAGATAAGCAGAAAAAAATCTTTCTCTCCTTAGAAGGATCTGATGTGGCTAACAGTTACAATGGGAAGTGTCAGGGCTTGGGTCCCCTTATTAAGTAAATGGCTCCTTCTACATGCAGCTAATATCTACGTCAAGTCATAGGCTGCCTGCAGCTCCCAGGCCTCTGTGCACCTGGGAAAGTGTCTCACACAAAGAAAGCCCATGTGTGCAGTATGGATATTATTATGAAGATGGATAGTCAAAAATTAAAACTGCTCAAACTAGGAGTTAATTTGACTCATCAGGAATCTAAAAATAAGGTACTAGAACAATGAGTGAGTTTAGCAAGGCTTCTGGATACCAGATTGATACACAAAAATCAATTATATTTCTGTATAATATACTAGGAACAGACAATGAGAAAATAAAAATCTAAAAATCCATTCACAATATTATTAAGAAAAATAAAATACTTATGAGTAAATTTAATGAAAGAAGTGCAACACCTGTGCACTTCAAACTCCATGACATCCCTGAGAGAAACTGAAGAGGTAATTATAAATATATATGCCATACTCATCATAGCTTGGAAGATTCAATATTGTTAAGATGGCAATTATCTAGAAGTTGATAAAATCTATAAATGTAAAGCAATTCTATCAATTTCTCAGCAGGATTCTTTGAATAAAATGACAAGTTGATCTTAAAATGTCTATGGAAATGAAAAAGAAATTGCCAAAATAATATTGAGAAAGAGAAACAAAATCTGAAGATTTATACCACCTGATTTCAAAACTTATAAAAGCTATAGTAATCAATTATGTTACTGGCCTAAGCATCGACACACAGATATATGAACAGAAAACAGAGTTCAGAGATGGATCTTTGTATATAGTAGTGTGCTGAATCTGACTCCTACTGGTTTATAGAATTGATTATTAAATTCTCAGGAATTTAGTGAGTGGATTTTGAAACTAATAGTAGCTTTGAAAGATAGCATGCAAGAGTATCACATCAGGAAATTGGCCAACTGTACCCATAAAGTTCTTCTAGATAATAGCTGTTAAACACTTAAATCATACCACTGGCTTACATACATGACCAATTTACCTTTGACAAATGTGCTAAGATAATTCACTGGGGAAAAGAGTAAACTTTTCAACAAATAGTGCTGGGAAAACTAGATATCCATATGAAAAGAAAATGAATCTCTGCTTTACCTTGCCTCATACATAAAAAATAATTAAAAATGAACTATAGACTATAAAATTTCCATAAAACTTCCCAAAGAAAACAGGAAAAAAATAATTTTGGTTTTGGAATAGGCAAAGATTTCTTAGAATTTGAAACTCAAACAGGACAAAAGGAAAAAAAAAGATAAAGTTTATTAAAATGAAACTTTGACTTTTCAAAAGACATCATTAAGACAATAAAAAGATAAGCACCATAGTTTAAGACACACACCTCTTAGACATATTAGATATATATCTTAGACATACATAATATATGTCCTTTATTAAACATAAAGGACTTACGTCCAGAATACTTTTATAAAGATCTCTTAAAACTCAATAGTAAGACAAACAACCCAACTTGAAAACAGGAAAAATATCAATAGACAAATTCACCAAAGAAGATATACAAAAGCAAATAGCATATGAAAATATGCTCAACACTATTAATAATTAAGAAAATACAAATTAAAACCACAGTTAGATACCACTACACATCCACTAAAATGGCTATTATGAACACTGGCAATACCAAAAGTCACCAAGAATGTGGAACAACTGGGTCTCTCATATATTTCTGATGGGAATGGTCAATAGAATAGGACTTTGAAAAAATTATTTCTATGATAACCACACATTTACCATATGACCCATCAATTCTACTCTTAAGTATCAAGGAGAAATGAAAACTCACATCTGCTAACAACTTGTACATGGATTTTAACAGCAGCATTATTCATAGTCACCCAAAAGCTGAAACAACCCAAATGTTCAACTAATGCACAAATACACAAAATGGGTATATCCACACAATACAGTGCTACACAGCAATAAAAAGATGCAAATCAACAGAATTAACCCTAAATAATAACATGCTAAATGAAATAAGCCTGAGAGAAAATAATTGGTGTCATATAATTTCATTTATATGAAATTTCTAGAAAAGGCAAAATGTAGAAAGATCAGTAGCAGCCTGGGGCTGGGATTGAGAGAAGGCAACATAAACTGTCTTTTRAAGATAGCTACACCAGTGCAAAAACTTACTAAATCTCACTAAAATATACACTGACAAGGAAGGAGTTTTATGTTATGTAAATTATATCTGAATAAAACTGGTTTCAAATTCAGCTGGGATGTCTCCTTTCCTGACATTGCTCTCTCTCCTTCTAAGAAGATGATTCTTGCTTCCTTTGATGCCTGGGCCTTCTACCAGATTCTCTGCCTGACCTCCCATGCTGTGCTTTTAGGTATTTGTTCCCAAGCCCACTTGTGGGACCTGGGGGGCAGAGAAGGTGTCAGATCCACGTCCATGTCCCTGGTGCCTGGTTTGGAAGTTGGCACATTTCAGCATGCACCTGACCAGTGTTGCTGAACAAATGACTCAGCACCCTCTTTTTTACCTCTTCATTGTAAAAATAACATGTAGCAATTAGTTCATTGTTCACTTTTCTTTTCCTTATTTGTAAGAATTCTCTACTATAGATAAAAACAAAAGACAATAATTCTCTGTGACTATGTTTCCCAGTTTGTCTTTTGCCTCAAATCTCTATATAAACCTTAAATTTGGATGTGGTTTGCTCTTCTTCCTTTATCATGTCTACTCTTGAGGTTACACTTTAAAAGTCCTTTCCTACTCCAAAGTAGTATCAATATTTATTTAAGATTTCCCTTTCACATTTATGTATTTAATTTACAATTAAATCTTTAAACCATTGAGAATTACCACTACTTTCATGCAGACTGGCAAAGAAGAAGCATACGGGTACCCCCATTGGCAAACAGATGGGAAAGGTAGGCTGGTCCAACCCAGGGGCAGTCTGCAGCTCCAGGGTTCTGCACAGTGTCTGGTACATCCTAGGTACAGGATGTTTACTGAATGTGTGAATTAGCGAATGACACCTTTCACATCGATAACCTTTGATCTGGCAATTTCATTTCCAGAAATTTGTCACAAATTTGGACAAGACAGCATTTTTTAACATATTATAAATTCTTGGTTATCATTTTGTGTGACGGCCTCAAATCATACCTTTGTTTATAAATATGAATGAATTCTAAGCCTGATGGTCTGGGGCATGAATAGATATCAGAAATGATTAAATAATATTGAGTGTAAAAACATTAAATAGATGATCCCCACAATGCCATTTTCATTGCATTAAATATCACTTTTGGTTCTTGTTCCTAATGATTCACTGGAGCTTATCCCCATTAAATCCTGCCTCCAGCTGCTCCCCCTGCCCCTCAGCTCATCTGAAGTGAAGTCCCCCTGGGGTACATGGATTGTGGGGCAGGCAGTCTGGTGAGTGAATTATGGACTTCCCTTACCAGGCGCAACTAAATTTTCATAGCTCCTTATTTTTCTTTTTCTATTGCAACTTAACTCCCAGCAAGTTTCAGCACCCTGCTAGCTCTAGGAGAAGTAACA